CACACAAACACACACACACACTCATAAACAAAACCACAAACACACATATTCACAAACAAGCACACAAACAAACATATTCACAAACAAGCACACAAACACACACACACGACCAAAATGAAAAGAATACCAGCCATGCTGTCGCAGCTGGTAACCGAACCAACAAATCTCCTCCAACAAAAACAAACACTCCACTGAAGCCTGCTACAATGTACTCAGACACACAGACATTACAGTGGTTTTGGGGGGAAAAAAAGTTCAACACTTTGAAACTACACTGGGCAAAATATGTGACAGGGTGTGATGCGGCACAAAAGGCAGCACATGGCCCCTCTGGCTTGCATGTGTCGCAAAGCATCCCTCTCTATCAAACAGCATGATAAGATTTTAAGAGAAAGAGCAGGATCACAGGCTGAATGTGCCTGTGGGTGTAGTGTTCACAAGAGGGACACAGAAATGAAGGTCAGGTTTTTTTTTCAGTGTGGCATTTTTATAACGTACAGCTGCTACCAAACAAACTCTCAACATGCCGCTCTGCTTCTCTAAGAGCTTGTGAAATGGAAAATTGTTGGAGCACAAATGTAGATTTTAGGCAAAAAGAAACAGACCCATCCAATGTCAAATGGAGTATCTTTTGCTGTGTGTAGCTAATGATGGACGAATGAAAAACACACATGAACTGAATAAATACTCTTTGCATATCAGCATGTAAACTAAAGCTGATCTGTGCAATCAGATTTGCATTTGAGTCACAACACAAAATATAATCAATAGCAAAGTTGACAGGCGCACTTGGCTTCCAATACAATAATTAGTATTCATATTTCTGATAAATTCAGCTTATGTAATGCTATAAAAATGGCGTGCAACATCATATTTGACAGCAAAGACTGACTGGTGATTGGTCAAGTGCATGTGGGGCGGGACCTTGATACTGCAGCTCCACTGCAGGATCAGTACTGCACAGACTGGCTCCAGATTACATCAAAAGCAAAAGATGCTTTCAAGGATATTTTGGCTTCATTTTTGTACAAAAGGATGAAGTGGAGATGTTCTGTTCTTTATAAACAGTTTATTGGGCTAAAGATGGAAACCAACAATTTAACCCTCCTAGCTTATTCTGCTTTTCGCATTTTCATACAGTTCTCTTCGATCTTGATTTACAAAGTCGGTTAATTTGATTTAACGTATTAACTCTCAATAGTCTTAGTTCTGTGACTTCTCGCTGCAAGACAAACAAAAGTACAGTCTATCCTTTAGTAATGGAATAATGCCACTGTGTGCATTGTGCTTCATGTTCTTCTTTAATGTGTACATAAAAGGACATGTAAACAAGATGCTCAAACAACGGCCTTCTTTGCTTTCTACATGAAGAAGACCAGTGTGTGAAATTAATACTTCCAGGCTGCATCAATACTGTCATCTATAGGAAACAGGCTTACCGGACCGTGGCAGGTCAGAGAGTCATCGTCAGCTCGCTCACACTGGGCATCACATTCCACGCACACGGACCCGTTGGCGTACTCTCGAATATCCCTGGGGGAGGGAGGGTGGGATTAGGAGGGGTGGGGAACAGAATGACAAACAGGAGTGAGAGACAAGAGGGGGAGTGAGAAAATGTTCCTTCAGTCGAAATGGATGTTAAATCTTGTAGAAAGGAGATGACAACGCTTTTGTTGCTTGTCCCTCCTTTAATAGGTGGTGCATTTTTGCTTAAGCTGTAAATACAGTATGAAGAGTTAAAACATTGAACAACAACACTTTAATTTACCCTCTATTCAATATCACTCAACATATTCACCTCTACCTGTAAAAACTAGGTGATCTAAGACCCACCAGCTGTTTATCACACCAACCACCGAAAGAAGTGCTTAAGTAACAATTTATGAATGTAACTTTTTATATATTAATGTATGAGGTGTTTAAGGAGGTTAGTGATTTTAACATGTACACATTTTTCATTGTTTCCATCTTTAAACCAAAGCTTAATATTTGAATGATTGAACACTCACACTAACCCAACCTAATGACTCTAACTACTGTCCTTGCTAACAATGCCGCCTTTAAAAAATATTTAATGCATCAGACTTTCAGCTGTGATAATTCATGAAAAATATATTATATTATGATGATCATGTTTTTGTTATGGATTAGATGTAATCAGATATTAAGTTGTGAAAAAGAAAGACATTTTCGGAATTGTCGCCTATTTTCCTAATGTCTGAATGGATAAAGAGTCTATGGTTCAAGATTAATGGAGGGATTGAAATAGAAAAATTGTTAGTTGATGATACATTTGTCTGCAGCAATCTGCTAGTATGAGCCTTGTTTCCTTCAATGCTAACCTTTGAAACAGAGGCCAATATGTACTCCAACACACACACAAGCAGTGTGGCTAATTAGCTAACTGTAATTCTGATGGCATCACTCACGGGGTCAACACATTTGAAAGGTGCAATACCTGCGAGGGGTTCAACGATTTCAAAAATCAATTAAATTAAGTGCCATTTTATTCAATTTCTACAATCCCCTTATAATAGCAGAACACCAGAGTGGCCTCCAAAAGTCATTAAATCTGACCACAGCGCGACTGAGTTGGCACTTTGCCTTTGTCACTACAGGACAAGGAGACTTCTGAGTTCTTGGTCAGTAAAATAAAACGGAATGTTCCGTCTCAGAAAGAGAAAAAAAATGTCATCGTCCCAGTGGGATCTAAATCAAATTAGTATTAATTATGCTTCAACTGGCCTTCAGAAAACCTTCCAGGACACAAGGGAGGTAAGCTTTTGTCTGCGTGTGTGCTGGTTGAAATAATAAACGCTGCAGTGGAGCTGCAAGATATCATTGACGCTCAGTCTACTGCTCGGTGGTCTGTTGTGTCTGCATTTCTGTATTTTCTGTATGTTGTCTGTGACAAATATACAGCAACATATTTGCATTGAGTAATAAATCTTAGTATGGATTTGATGCAAAACAAAAAGTCATCTCAAACAGCTTTTAGGCATAATCCCTGCTGCTCTACCTGCAGACAAATTAAACTGCCTGTTTGGTATTTTGAACAATAACTTTGATTGACTTTGTCAAATACTTTCACAGCTGTGCATACATCATTTGAGGTATAAGGCAATTCAAGCTCCTTGTCGATTAGCTGCTGTCTGACACATGCTGAGTTGTCAATACAAGTCTGAGATGAAAGGACAAAAAATGAGCAATACAATGTAATTCTGCATGTTATGCTTTTTACAAGCAATCTCACAAACTGTTAAACCAAGAGAAATGTTTTTCTAGAGTTAAACATTGGCATTTTTAACATAGGAGTTACTAACGTTTTGACTACAGGGGAGTCCTCGTAGCCTGACGATAGACGGTATATAAAGATGGACGACATGTCGGCTCCCTAAAACTGAAGCCAAAGTGCCTCGATGGCCACCTCTTGGCTGACTGGAGTATAAACTATCAACTCTGCCTTCTACATTTCAGAGGGACAACGCTACCATGCCTCCATCCCCTGAATGCTACCGGGCAGAGTCTAAAAGACGTCCCCGGCACAAGATGGTAGTGTTTGTATATGGGATAACTTTGCTTCATTTTCATTATATACAGTCTATGGACTCGACAGGCCATGTTTGCTCAATCCAGCCCTTAACTTCCCCAGTCCTCCTTGTTTTTGTTAAGGGCTGAAGGTTGGGAGGTGCATTCAGTGAAGCCCTGTCTGGTTGTGGGAAGTGCTGACGTGCAGGTGGACAGGTAGGCAGGGCGTGGCCCCGTGCGCAAGCAGTGACTGTGACACGCAGTGACACGCCTAGCCCCCCTGCCCTAGCCCACCTTCCGGTCTTCCTTAATCCTCTCCAGTGCGGCCCCCACCCCAAAAAAACACTGTTGATCAACTTGGAACTTAAAAGCGTCATTGAATCAGATCTGCAAGGTAAAATATCTAAAATGTTATTAATAAAACTCACCAGGGGAGCAGGTCTCATCACTTTCAATAGTGAGGTGAAGAGCATAAAGTCAAGGGACCTCTATTAATTTGACACTCTGCAGGGGGGGCTTCAAAACCACCACATCTTAAATTGTTCCTTTCACCCTTTGGCTTTGATATCATAGCAGAGTAAGCCCATAGTAAGCAGAAAACGATACTCCAGCTGACACCAATAGACTTGAGTTGTTCTTCAACTGAAATGTAACTTTAGATGAGCAAGTTGTTCAGCAGATTTTCCAACAATAAAGTGTCCTTTGAGAATTTCACACTGAAATCAGTTGATTTGTGTTTTTCTTTTTTACATCTTGATTTGATCTGTGGACATTTTACTGCTGCTTTACTCTCCTGGAACTCCTCCGGAATCTTTTTTACAGGGATCTTTCTTTCAGATGCTTAATATAGAAATCAGTTTGATCCTTCCCGCACTGGTAACCTGCAAGTTATAGTATGAAAGCATAATGATGGAGAATACTTGAAAAGCACAGTTCTGCTTGTGGAATTACAAACCAAACTCTGAGGACTCCAGGCAGGGATTTCCTTCCTGTTTGATATCAAGAACCAAAGAGCTGCTCTGAGAACCCATGCAAATATAAAGCATTTTGTTTTGCAGGCCTGTACACACTGTGTTCAGGGGCAAGACTATCTCAGTTATTGATATTTGCACTGTCATTGATAATGAAAGGTGTAACTGCCAGTGATTTTCCAGCTGGAGATCATCAGGGTCAGACGCTTTCACAACAACAGGAAAATATCTGGAAAATTCAGACAAGGAGTGGTGTCTGGGTCGAGCCTGCAGGAGTCAGGACTGTAAAAACATCATCATCACTCTCTTGTTCTGAATCTTACAGACATTTTACCAGGGGGCTGGCTGGAAAAGCTTGAGAAAATGTCTGGAGCAACTGACTCATTCATTTGCAGTCCCTCTGTAAAGTTCCAGGATAATGTCTGGACTTGAGTATGTGTCTTAAAATCAGCTATTATAATATACCTTGTTGAGTGTTTTGTTTATGATGCCTCCTTTTCAAACCTTGCAGCCAACAGTTAATAATAAGCAGAACAGGCAGAGTGATGAACACAGATAGGTTCAGAAGTTTCTGTGATTCTGAGAAAGTATAGGACCTGCTCCAGGCTGACTAAAGGGGCAGCATTACATGCCGAAAGAATTTGAGGTTTGAGGTGAGGCAGGGACTATTTTTTTCTTTTAGCCACAGTCTTGGTCAGCCTGATAGAGCAGGTGCACTCGGCAGCAGTCTCGTCTAGAACAGAGAGGGTCAGGACATGGACAGGGTCGTTTCCCTGTTTCCCTGCCACTGTCTGCTGAAGGACAGGTCTCAGTCCAAAGCGAGCCATGCTATTTTATTTAGGGCTACAGCGCTGCAGACTAAACAGAATAGAGTATTTCAGACTGGTGTGGAATAAAGCAGCTGTGGAAAAAGAGGGAGTTTTAATCATCAATTTCACTTTGTTCACCTTTGGTGAGAAAATCAGTTTAGCAAAATCCACAATCACTTATCTTAATCATTTATTTTTTTAAGTGACTAGGTTCACTATTATTTCCTCTCCCTTTCAGTGAACTGAGCATCACATGTATTAAACAGGGTTTTGCTGACAAGAAGAATATCTATTCGTATTGTTGTTCTGATTTATTATCAAATATGCATCACAGATGCATGCAACATAGATTTTTTTCAATCAATGTCCCCATGTTTTCAGTCCTTCTCTCTTTTCCTTGGAGCATAACTGCTGTGTTGATGTTTCGTGTACATGCATAGCTCACCCTTCATAAAGGTTGCAAGTCTCCACACAAGTTCGTCCACGGCTGAAGTGTCTGCAGGAGAGGCACTGGTTCGGGCCAGGACCCCAGCATCCTGCGTCTGAACACAGCGGGTCACACACCATGTGCTCCCTGGCTGCTCAGTACAAACATATACAAAGACAGGGAGAGTAACAGCAAAGAATTAGAATGTAATTTAGCTGTGGTTTAATGACTCATCGTCGGTGCAGACACAGAGAATAAACCAAAAATTGCCCTAAATTATCTGAATATAAAATTAGCCAAAGTAATCACATTATCTATTTAAAAAGACACAGATCTGCAAAGGCACATGCAAATTGCAAGTTTCTGTGCTTCCTAAGCAGCTGTTCATTTGGCCTATAAAAAGTATGTTTTTGTGTTATGTTGCTCTCTTAAAAAAATGGTAGGAGCAATCGCAACAAGACAGAGGAGCATATGAAGAGTTATAAGACTGAAGGACAGTGATGCCCCTATTTCATAAAGAAGAAATCGTCAAAGAAGATGCACTGAACAAGGCTAATTACTCTCCTGGATGAACTTCAAGCTGACCTTGTACTGTGTTGCTTTGTATTTATATAAAAAACTTTGTGTTTAAGTGTGCAACTGGCAAAGGAGGAAGTGTCTGCTGCGATGCCTGAATTTAAACATTTTTAAACAAATGGTGATGAAGCACCAGTGGGACGCAGGAAGCACCAGCAGATGCAACACAGACTTGTTTATTTAACTACGACTTACAAAAGGGAGGGTGGAAAAAAAACCACCTCATAAACTTTTCTGTCTGTATTGATTTTTTAGAAAACGACCATGATATTGATAATGACTCTTTCATTCCACAAGTATAGGATATATGCTGCCTATGCAATGTACAGGGCATTTCTGTGTTGGAGGCTGTTTAAAAGCCTGATTCAATCCCACCTTTGATTTACAAGGATACAAGTGTCATTCACTTTGGATGGATCCAATCATTGAAAGAAAATGTCTCTTTCTCCTTCCCCATTCATTGAGAACCTTCTGTTTGCTGTTCTCTCTGTTTCTGTGTTTCTATAGCACCAACAGACTCAGACCATTCCATCCACTCTGTTCCATTATCTCCTTGTGTCTGTATCTCTTATCTCTCCCTCACTCCTTTGTCCCCTCTCAGCGCTAGGTTCTACAAAGGTCGGAACATGTGGGAGTGTTACAGCGAGAGAAATGGGAATGTTGGAGCAACATGGTGACAGCGCTGCAGATACACTTGGAACTTTTATCATCTCATCTGCACCTGACGTGACTTCCACCTTGATCGGTGGATTTTAAAAACAGACTTATATGCCAGAGTTCTCTCCTCCTTTCCTCTCCTCTCTTTTCTTTTCTTCTCTGTTGTGAAAAGGCTCTTGCTGTTTGCCGAAGTCCTGGCCACATGTAAGCCAAGGGCGATGGATCGGTGTCGACTGCAGCAATGTTCAGATTGCTTAAAATTCAGATGCAGAAACATAGGGAAAACAAGAAATTCAGTGTTTGTGACCAAGGGTAGCATGTCTAAGGCATGCGCTGCAGACAAAGAAGAAAGGTTGCTGCTGAAAAAAGGAAATAAACAAGGGAGGAGGAGAGGTTGGTTGGTTTCTTAACCATACAACAAGATCAAAAAAGATGCCAACCTCAGATGTTTCTGACACGGTCAGAAAACAAAAACCCATGGGGCTTTTCAGCAGGAAGGAAGCAAGTACGTAAGTGAGGAAGGAAATTAGGAGGCAAGAGGAAAAATAATCTTAGAAACAAACAATAAGAAAAGAAAAGAATAAGGAAAAACACAGTGTGTGGACCTCGACTGTTGCCTGCACTTCCCTGCATCCCTCTTTTCTGTATCAAAGCCAACACAGAGTAATTCAGGGCAGCTATTGAAACGACTAAAGAGTGTGGGTCTGGGTAATTATCTGAATAATACATCATGTGGAAATAACATGAATTAAATTTTAGAATCCATAGAAGACAATGCTTTTCACACGGGGCTTTTCACTGGGTTGTTAAAAAAAAATCATAGAAATCCCGAAAACTCAACCAGAGATTTTTTTTTTTCGCCAGAATAAGAAGTCAATGTGAAAATCTCTGAATGTGTGGAGAGCTTTGTTAAAATGTGTAAAGCATAATTCTATCTTTATGTGAAAAAAACTTGACATCAATAAAATCTGTGAATTACTATAAATCCAAAATGATATCACCCTGGTGAAAGCTGATAT